ATGAGCTATTCTCAACTTCGCTGGCTACTTTTTCACCATCCTTTCTGCTCTTCTGTAATGATTTTATATTTTTCAAGATGTTGATCTATTTTCTTGCATATCGCTGATGTTATTATTTTTTGGAGCCATGTTATTGGTCGATAATTGCCCGGGTTTTCTGTTTTGTTATTTTTCGGTTGACAAGATTTGTGGCAGTTGCTGTGGGTTTTTTATTTCTTAGAGCAGGTAAGGCGCTGTCCTACGGACATAAGGAGTAGGAACGCGCCATTCTGCTATGAAACTAAAGTGAAGCCAAGTTTTTGGCAGGTGTTTGGCACCAAATACAGGTAAAGCATTGAATTGCCTATATGGCCATTTTTTGATGCAAAAATACCTAGAAAAAAACTCCATGTTACCACAGCGTATGTTACTACTGCTTTACCTTTACCTGCTCTAAGGTTTATTTAGACAGCTATGTTTTTCTTTATTTTATGTATTGATATGAATTGTTTGATTGGTCCTACCTTGGTGGTTACCGGTGTGAAGTTAGCACGCCGCTCCAGCACGCCAAAGTAAAAAGTTAAAAAAATGGTGTTTCACGTTCAAATTTGGACGGATGCTTGCTCAAGGGATGCTTTATCATCCCTCAAAAGGAAAATTCCTTACAAGCCGTCGAACTTAGAAAAATCAGCGCTTATATGTAAAAATAATGAAAATTTCATATTTTCTTATTTTTTCTTTAGACTCCTAGATGGTGTTTCACGTTCAAATTTGGACGGATGCTTGTTCAAGGGATGCTTTATCATCCCTCAAAAGGAAAATTCCTTACAAGCCGTCGAACTTAGGAAAATCAGCGCTTATATGTAAAAATAATGAAAATTTCATATTTTCTTATTTTTTCTTTAGACTCCTAGATGGTGTTTCACGTTCAAATTTGGAGGGATGCTTGCTCAAGGGATGCTTTATCATCCCTCAAAAGGAAAATTCCTTACAAGCCGTCGAACTTAGGAAAATCAGCGCTTATATGTAAAAATAATGAAAATTTCATATTTTCTTATTTTTTCTTTAGACTCCTAGATGGTGTTTCACGTTCAAATTTGGAGGGATGCTTGCTCAAGGGATGCTTTATCATCCCTCAAAAGGAAAATTCCTTACAAGCCGTCGAACTTAGGAAAATCAGCGCTTATATGGAAAAATAATGAAAATTTCATATTTTCTTATTTTTTCTTTAGACTCCTAGATGGTGTTTCACGTTCAAATTTGGAGGGATGCTTGCTCAAGGGATGCTTTATCATCCCTCAAAAGGAAAATTCCTTACAAGCCGTCGAACTTAGGAAAATCAGCGCTTATATGTAAAAATAATGAAAATTTCATATTTTCTTATTTTTTCTATAGACTCCTAGATGGTGTTTCACGTTCAAATTTGGACGGATGCTTGTTCAAGGGATGCTTTATCATCCCTCAAAAGGAAAATTCCTTACAAGCCGTCGAACTTGGAAAAATCAGCGCTTATATGTAAAAATAATGAAAATTTCATATTTTCTTATTTTTTCTTTAGACTCCTAAATGGTGTTTCACGTTCAAATTTGGAGGGATGCTTGCTCAAGGGATGCTTTATCATCCCTCAAAAGGAAAATTCCTTACAAGCCGTGGAACTTAGGAAAATCAGCGCTTATATGTAAAAATAATGAAAATTTCATATTTTCTTATTTTTTCTTCAGACTCCTAGATGGTGTTTCACGTTCAAATTTGGAGGGATGCTTGTTCAAGGGATGCTTTATCATCCCTCAAAAGGAAAATTCCTTACAAGCCGTCGAACTTAGGAAAATCAGCGCTTATATGGAAAAATAATGAAAATTTCATATTTTCCTATTTTTTCTTTAGACTCCTAGATGGTGTTTCACGTTCAAATTTGGAGGGATGCTTGCTCAAGGGATGCTTTATCATCCCTCAAAAGGAAAATTCCTTACAAGCCGTCGAACTTAGGAAAATCAGCGCTTATATGTAAAAATAATGAAAATTTCATATTTTCTTATTTTTTCTTTAGACTCCTAGATGGTGTTTCACGTTCAAATTTGGAGGGATGCTTGCTCAAGGAATGCTTTATCATCCCTCAAAAGGAAAATTCCTTACAAGCCGTCGAACTTAGGAAAATCAGCGCTTATATGTAAAAATAATGAAAATTTCATATTTTCTTATTTTTTCTATAGACTCCTAGATGGTGTTTCACGTTCAAATTTGGACGGATGCTTGTTCAAGGGATGCTTTATCATCCCTCAAAAGGAAAATTCGTTACAAGCCGTCGAACTTAGAAAAATCAGCGCTTATATGTAAAAATAATGAAAATTTCATATTTTCTTATTTTTTCTTTAGACTCCTAGATGGTGTTTCACGTTCAAATTTGGAGGGATGCTTGCTCAAGGGATGCTTTATCATCCCTCAAAAGGAAAATTCCTTACAAGCCGTGGAACTTAGGAAAATCAGCGCTTATATGTAAAAATAATGAAAATTTCATATTTTCTTATTTTTTCTTCAGACTCCTAGATGGTGTTTCACGTTCAAATTTGGAGGGATGCTTGTTCAATGGATGCTTTATCATCCCTCAAAAGGAAAATTCCTTACAAGCCGTCGAACTTAGGAAAATCAGCGCTTATATGGAAAAATAATGAAAATTTCATATTTTCCTATTTTTTCTTTAGACTCCTAGATGGTGTTTCACGTTCAAATTTGGAGGGATGCTTGCTCAAGGGATGCTTTATCATCCCTCAAAAGGAAAATTCCTTACAAGCCGTCGAACTTAGAAAAATCAGCGCTTATATGGAAAAATAATGAAAATTTCATATTTTCCTATTATTTCTTCAGACTCCTAGATGGTGTTTCACGTTCAAATTTGGAGGGATGCTTGCTCAAGGGATGCTTTATCATCCCTCAAAAGGAAAATTCCTTACAAGCCGTCGAACTTAGGAAAATCAGCGCTTATATGTAAAAATAATGAAAATTTCATATTTTCTTATTTTTTCTTTAGACTCCTAGATGGTGTTTCACGTTCAAATTTGGAGGGATGCTTGCTCAAGGGATGCTTTATCATCCCTCAAAAGGAAAATTCCTTACAAGCCGTCGAACTTAGAAAAATCAGCGCTTATATGTAAAAATAATGAAAATTTCATATTTTCTTATTTTTTCTTTAGACTCCTAGATGGTGTTTCACGTTCAAATTTGGAGGGATGCTTGCTCAAGGGATGCTTTATCATCCCTCAAAAGGAAAATTCCTTACAAGCCGTCGAACTTAGGAAAATCAGCGCTTATATGTAAAAATAATGAAAATTTCATATTTTCTTATTTTTTCTTTAGACTCCTAGATAGTGTTTCACGTTCAAATTTGGAGGGATGCTTGCTCAAGGGATGCTTTATCATCCCTCAAAAGGAAAATTCCTTACAAGCCGTCGAACTTAGGAAAATCAGCGCTTATATGTAAAAATAATGAAAATTTCATATTTTCTTATTTTTTCTTTAGACTCCTAGATGGTGTTTCACGTTCAAATTTGGAGGGATGCTTGCTCAAGGGATGCTTTATCATCCCTCAAAAGGAAAATTCCTTACAAGCCGTCGAACTTAGGAAAATCAGCGCTTATATGTAAAAATAATGAAAATTTCATATTTTCTTATTTTTTCTTTAGACTCCTAGATGGTGTTTCACGTTCAAATTTGGAGGGATGCTTGCTCAAGGGATGCTTTATCATCCCTCAAAAGGAAAATTCCTTACAAGCCGTCGAACTTAGGAAAATCAGCGCTTATATGTAAAAATAATGAAAATTTCATATTTTCTTATTTTTTCTTTAGACTCCTAGATGGTGTTTCACGTTCAAATTTGGAGGGATGCTTGCTCAAGGGATGCTTTATCATCCCTCAAAAGGAAAATTCCTTACAAGCCGTCGAACTTAGGAAAATCAGCGCTTATATGGAAAAATAATGAAAATTTCATATTTTCCTATTTTTTCTTTAGACTCCTAGATGGTGTTTCACGTTCAAATTTGGAGGGATGCTTGCTCAAGGGATGCTTTATCATCCCTCAAAAGGAAAATTCCTTACAAGCCGTCGAACTTAGGAAAATCAGCGCTTATATGGAAAAATAATGAAAATTTCATATTTTCCTATTTTTTCGTTCGACGGCTTGTAAGGAATTTTCCTTTTGAGGGATGATAAAGCATCCCTTGAGCAAGCATCCCACCAAATTTGAACGTGAAACATCATCTTACGTGAATGAAAGGAAAAAAATTGCGGCGTGCTAGAATGGCGTGCCAACTCACATTATGGCATGCTTGAGCGGCGTGCTAACTTTACTTTTTGACGTGCTCCAGCGGCGTGCTAACTTTTTACACTTTGGCGTGCTCTAATGGCGTGCTCACTTTATTCTTTGGCGTGCTGGAGCCGGCGTGCTAACTTCACACCGGTTTGGTGGTTGCTGGTTGTTCCAGCAAAAGTTCCTGGATTTGTAGCCTGGTTTTTGTTGGTCAAGCGATCTGTTTCCACAACACTCTCGACCATCGCTTTGCTCGTCTGGAATTTGAATTTTCCAGCTGTACCTATCGGTCCTAATTATTGTTCGAGGTGTGAATAATTCGAAGTAGCCGTTCTCAGGATTTGCAAATAATATTGGGTAGATGGTCTTATCGTGTTCATTTCCGTTGGTTCTTTCATCATATTTACTTCCGTCCGTGGGTTATTAGTATTATTATTATTAATATTACATTTTCAGCTGAATCTGTGGTGAAATTCAGTATGTTACAAGTTATGCCTTGTTATCATCAATGTTCGCAATAATACTTTGTTTTTTTTTTTTGAAAAACAATCTTTATTCATGTAACAATACATTATTATACATTATATAAATTTCTCTAATCAGTGCATAATAGCTCTGGTCACATTCCTAATCGAGGCCAGAGCTATTATGCACTGATTAGAGAACAACCTATTCGTATTTAATTAAGGTAGGTTTTTATTTATTAAGCATAATGTTTTAGCCAATAATAATTGATTGGATCGCAAAGAATGCTCACAACTCACAAACTATACCAGCCATTGAAATAGTTCCTAATAAAAAACCAACTGCTAAATCACAGAAATCTGAATACGTTTTTACTGCAAATGACGTATTCGAAGAAAACTTGAACAAATTTGACAAGGAGATATCCATGATGGACAAAACTTCTGAAAAATCCGTGAAGAGACAAAAACAAAAAAGTCCAGAACATGTTTTTACTGGAGATGACGATTTTGAGGAAAATCTAGAACAACTGGATAACGAATTATTTAAAAATGAACAAACTAGTAAAACTTACAATACAGAACTAGATCTTGTGGATAATACGCCAATAGTTAATTTGAAGCTTCGGTAAGTGCTTCTCAATATTATGAAATTAACAGTTCATTAGCAAAACTAATTATTATTTTAGATCAAATGAGAAAAACCCGCCAACACAAATTTTAAGTAAAGGTGCCGCTCTAAAAACCCCTACCGGCCTCATCAATACAGAAGATGTTGATCTGTTTGATAAAGCCCCCTCAACGTTGAATAGAAACTTGCCTTCAGAAACTGAAAAATGTTCTGATGATGTGGCAATACTTTTAGAGGACTTACACGAGGATGATTTCTTAACAGATAACATGGATCATACAGAAAATGTTGAAGCTGAAGGGAAAAACGATAAGTGCACTTTTGATGACGATATGGAAGACGAATTGCAAAACATTCCGTTGACAAATTTTCAAAAAGATGCTAAAGATGAAGAAAAACGATTAACTATTTTGCAAAATATTAGATTAAGGAGTCCAGATAAGACAGTGGGAGACGATATATATATAGATAGTGCTGATGATGAGGAAATTCTAGACGCTACTCCCAAGAAGAAGAATTCTTCAAATTGGTAAGTTCCAGTTCTACAGTGTAGTTTATTCATATGCCTCTATGTGGAGAAACTCAATTCTTTTTGTAGTATAGATCAATTTATTTGCATATTGGGCTTTCATCAATTTCCCATGTTACGGCAATGCTGTACTTATAGTCAGAATAATATGCTGTAGTACAAAATGTTTCAATCCAGCTATTTGACTTCTTTCCTCCATACTATTTTTCGAAATCAGATACCGATTATCCAAGTCTGAAATATTCTCCAAAATTATGTGCTAAATAAAAATCAGATACCGATAATACAACTGTGAAAGATTCTCCAAAATTTTGTGCTTAGTAATCCCACAGCGAAGCAATTCCAAATAAGATGTGTAAACATTGTCACTTATCAGAGGTGGAATAGTTACTTCTACTCTTAATTTTACACTACTTAGTATATGGACCCCACTGAAAATAATAGCCAGTAATGAATTTATAAAAATTGTAAAAATTATGTTTTAGTCGTTCTACAGAAGATCTTTTAGAAGTCCTCGATATTAACGAGGAAGCAATGATAGATATGTTGATAGCACCTCCAGAAGGTTTTGAAGATAAAGCTCCCATAGTTGAGACTCCAGCAATACTGAATAGCCCAATCAGTCAAAAGGATAATCGCTCTTTCTCTAGAAGACAAAACAGACTACCTTCTGTACAAGGGTATCAAAATATCCAATAACTCATCTACAAAAGTTCCTATCAATATATTTCAGGTTAACGGAATTTATTGTTACTCCAGATGAGCAAGCTCATCAAGAAAGTCAGCAACCCAAAACCCAAGAAAGTTTGACCTTTGTAGGACCGATGCGAAGTCCAAAGGGTGCGACTCAACAAGGGTCAATGTTGCCACCATCCAGACGTAGCTTGAAAGAAACAAGAATTGGCGAATCTGGAGCTGCTAAGTGTGAAACTCAGCCTAAGTATACGCCGTTGGTTTCAACACCAAGGTATGATTTTTCTAATGCAAAATACAAATTTATTTCATCTAAATCTTCACATTATAAATTAAATGAAATTAAGTGATTGATAAATTTGATAACAGACAAAACAGTATACTAATTTCTAAATTTGAATAATTGATATTTTTAGGTCAGCCATTAAAAAACCAGTCATAATGACTTCAACGCCGAATCAAAAGAGCATCCTAAATTTCACATCACCCTCTCAATCGTTATTGCAAAAAAGAAAGCCCTGTATAATGTGGTCCAGAATCCCATCCAAAGATGCCGGAGTTTTTGCTCAATTAGAAAACAAAAAACTTGTAACTACATCAAAGGTGTTTACTCCTTCGGTGACTCATTTGGTAGTTAAAGATGGTAGAATTTCATCACATACTGCGAAAACTTTACACGCTATGGCTGCAGGTATTTGGGTGGTAAGATACGAATGGGCTGAAGATTGTTTGAAGATGCAAAAAATTGTTGCAGAGGTGAACATTTTAGTTTTTCAGTAGATTTTTGTGTAAACAAAATATTTATATTTTAAGGACTCATATGAAGCTCTGGATAGTAGTGGTGAACCTGGTCCTAGACGTGCCCGATTGGCTCGAGGAAAAAAAAGTTTGTTCAAAGGATTTAAATTTTACTTGGCGATGCCCCTAGTTACTTTGAATAAAAAACAACTTGAGGTACCCGATCATTTGTTTCATCTAAAAAATAATTTAGGTCAATAATTTGTTTCAGGCTATCATTGAATTAACTGGTGGAGAAGTAGCGCAAGATTTGGGCTCCATGCTGGATAATGAAGAACAACTTCGCATTATTTTGATTGAATCTTCAGTCATGAAAGAAACACAGACTGAACAGTTTGACAGTAAGAAATTGTGAATTGGTTTTAAAATGTATAAATTTATATTATTTTTTTTTTTTTTAGCCTGGGGCGAAATTTACAAAGCGGCCACTGTGGACTTGCAATGGTTCTCAGATTGCATTAGTCAATTTAAATTGATAAGTTTCAGGCCGTATTTGGTTCTAGATGATGAAGATGTTATCCTAAATTTGAATAATTATTTTCCTCCTTCTTTACTGGCAACTGTGCCATATACTTTATCAGATTCAATATGAGTTTTTTTAGTCTTGTTTTGTGTTTTTTTTTTGACAGGTGCAAGCTATGCCAAGAAAAACAGTTCATAGTATTTTTGATGTTAGTATGTTTTTTATTGTGCAATTTGATCTATCACAATTTTATAACATTGTTATGCCATAATCCCTATAAAAAATATTTTAGTTTTGTTTTTTTGTTGTTACAACAACAATATGGAGTATATTGTTGAGGATTTTGTTTATTTTTCTATCAAATTTGTATTATTATTTTTGGTAAAATAAAGTAAATAAATAAAATTAAATTTGTTTTAAGGCATAAGTAGATAAGGCAATTACAAAATGCAGGTTCGAGTCTGACATTGTGCAATAACAAAAAAAAAAAGTAAATCCACACTCATAATAATTTATAAGTTGAACATTTAGAGTAAACTTGAATCTACGCAACAAGAATACATTGAAATATGTGAAATACACATATCAAGTAGTAATAGTATTAATCCAAAAATTAAACTGTGTACAAGAATTAAGGATTGAATGATGCTGTGCTATTATCTTTACGTAGACCATGAAACAAATGTATCAATGTCTTCCTGTAACGATTACCAATTTATTATTAATTGATTATGCAATATTCAACACTTTCAAATCATCTGCAAAAGCCAGAAATAGAATTGTTCGACTCTACCAACTGCCTTCTTTTCCTTGTGCCATTTTCAAACCATTTCAGGCAAAGACATCATCTTGGATTTCATCACATAATTTATCTAGGATAGAGGGCCTCAGAAACTATATTGGAGGTCTCATCTGAAATTATAAGTTCTCAAATTTGATGTGAGGACGGATAACAATAATTTTAAAGCCTATCAGAAATAAAATGCAGATATTTTCTGTTCACAATTATTGCAAGTTGTTCTGTGAACCGAGCTATTATTATTTTTTTCATAATATACTAAGCCGGCCATTAAAAAAAAAAAAAAAACATGGAAAAACTCTTTAATTGGCGAAAATAATTAGTTTATTTACGAAGCATTTTCAAAAATTATTGAAAATTATCAATAATTATTAATTAGGTTGCGAGTGCGCATATCCGTAAAAAAAAAAAAAAAAAAAAGGTATAGCAGTTTTACCTTATAGCTATTCGTAATTTTAGTTAAGGCATCTGCTTGGTAATAAGTAACTGCCCAAATCTTTTTTTTTGCATTCTATTGATAATAGGCAAATATCAAAGAGAGGTTCAGGTAAGATCTGGCATTCAATACAAAAAAATCATTCCTTTATTTTAATAAACTGACATTTTTAAACCGTTTTTCACCGGTTTCTGGAACAAATGGCTGTTTTTAGTCCTCTAAATTGAAGGAGTCCAAAAATTTCACCTGTTTATGGAGTTGTGGACATAACACGTTAGGTACTTAAATATTTAGACACACAGTTTTTGAGTGATTTTAGCAAATACAAAATAAATTATGTCTAAGAATATTTCAGAACATCTCCTAACGGTATTGTGGTGAATGAGTATTTCAATAAATAAAAAAATAAATAAAAATGCAACATAATTTGGCAATTTACATTAAAGCGGCAACGAAAAGTTATGACAGCAATAAAATATTGGAGAATTTATCAATGTCTGTTGAAAGGGGCACAATGTAAGTCCGTTAGTTATAACTAATTTCAAACATAATTATTTAAAAAACATTGTTGCAGCTATGGTCTTCTGGGTGCAAGTGGATGTGGCAAAACAACCCTTTTAAATTGTATTATAGGGAGAAAACCTTTGGATAACGGTCAAGTTTGGGTATTCGGTGAAAAAACAGGAACTAAAGACTGTGGAATACCTGGACCAAGAGTGGGATATATGCCACAAGTGAATTTTTATTTTGTTTTAATCAATCTTGATTCGTATTAAGGGTAATGTCTTTTTTAGGAAATCGCGTTGGTTCCAGAATACACGGTAAAAGAAACGATTTTTTTCTTTGGACGCATTGCAAATATGGACGACAAAGATATCAGTGATAGATATTATCAGCTTTCGAGATTGCTAGAACTTCCACCACATAATCAGTGAGTATTGAGCAAATCATGTTATGCGTATGCACAGCTCTCGGAAATATACGATGTAGCAGGTTCTCTTTATCATTCCGCATTTAGAATATGATTGTGCATCGTAGAATCGTAAAGGTAAAGATTATTATTGTCCACACTAATTACCTGATTTAGACGTGGTAGTGTGATAGTAATTTTCTAAACCATATTTTGTTGTGTCTTATATCTTCCTCGCAAGTTCTCCATCTGAAGAAAATTGGCCAAGCAAAGCTCTGCGTCAAAGATGCAACTGTGAAGCCACCGCGACGTTTCAGTGAATACGCATATGTCGTACTGGCAGACAGGGATATTTTGTTGCACCTGACTTAGTTTTGTTCGCAAACCCTGGGTGTTTTGGTAGTATATGGAATAGTTCCTAGAAAATTTAGCAGAATTTAGTTTTTTGTTGTAATTTTAAGTCGGTATCCCTAATCTCAATATTATTTCGTCCATTCAAGACACGCTGTCTAAACTTTAGATTCTGCTCCAGCCTGCTTTTTTGTTAGATCGGGATTAATAAAGATGATTTTACCCTTTTACTTTTGGAGCGGATAATGTTCTGCACGTCCTTCTTTTTATGCAGAATTGCTTTCAATGCCTTGAGACTTTTTTGTTAGGCTTACCAATTTTCGCCAGGTTATTAACTTCAACATTGGTAGCTCCAAGATCACTGAACAAAAGTGTTGACATCGTTGACCGATCTTTCCATACTTCTACAATTTGCTAGTCTCTAAGACTCATTTTCGTTTTGATGCTTCTGTTCATTATCTATAAGTAATTTAAATACTTCTCATTTTCCTAATTCCCCTTTATACACAAACTTCACTAAAATTTTCAGGTTTATCAAAAATTGTAGCGGCGGACAGCAAAGAAGAATTTCATTGGCGAGTGCTATAGTACACGAACCAGAACTTTTAATACTGGATGAACCTACAGTTGGAGTGGATTCACTTCTGAGAGAAAAGTAAGCGAAAATTCTACGGAATTCTAATCCAAAAATTGTAATACAAATTTTAGAATTTGGAGTTACTTATTGGACTTGGTACAAGTGGGGATAACAGTTGTACTGACCACTCATTACGTTGAAGAATGCAAAGGAGCACATAAAGTAAGAACCCTCGAGTATAATTATTATTGATGAAAGTTGTCATAATTATTTTATTTGGATAAATTCAGGTTGGATTTTTGAGAAACGGCTCTTTATTGGCGGAACTTTCACCTCAAGCCGTTTTGACAGCATTCAACTGTGATACATTGGAACAAGCTTTCTTGATAATTTGCAAAGATAAAGATGCAGGAAAGGAGTTTAATGAGGAAAGTTTATTGGATCGACCATCAATGTCGAGTTCTAGTCGATCGTTTGATATTTCAAATTATGAATCTTCTGAGGTAAATATTGAAGATGTTTATAATTTAAATCAAAGGTAAATAATGGTCCTAGATTATATTATATTCACAGACACACTTTTCGTGTTCCACTGCAATCACTAGTCAAATCGTCCAATAAGTACACACATCAAAATGGTCTGGAGAACAATGGATAATACCTATAGATACTTTGAAATTTTCTTGATTTTATTATAAAATAACAAGCTTTGAAAAAAAAGCCGATATGGTAAATTTGATAAGATTTGTTCAATAAATAGTGCCCACGTTAACTTTGAAAAAAGTTGTTTTGTCTTAAACTTAAAAGACAGATATTTCTTGTTCTCTAGACTATTTTAATGAGTGTATTTCCTCCTTGCTTCTAATAGATAATGTTGGGTCTTTTTAAAATGTTTCCCCTTTATGTCGTTTTTAGAATATAAATAACCCTACAAAAAGACCAGGTAAAAAAGTCAGGACATTTCTGAGTATTAACGCCAAGAGACTTCAGGCTCAACTACACAAAAATTGGATACAATTTATCAGGAATTACTTGTAAGTGTTGACCAAAATATTTTTAAACATGTTCCATTGACAATATTTTTAGAGGTTTATTTTTTTTTGGAATTTTACCACTCGGCATAACTTTATTCTTCGTATATTGCATAGGAGGTGACATAAAACGTATACCTATAGGTACAGTGAACGCAGAAGTGCCAGGAGATGGCTGCAAATATTATAACAAAAATATGTCGGCCATCATTCCAGATAAAGATACTTATAAGTGTACTTTTCAGAATTTGAGCTGTAGATTTTTGGAATATTTAGATCATCCGATGGTTAAACAGGCAAGGATTTCTGAACTTCAGCTTATATGTTATGGTTATCCAAAGTATTATTTTAGATTCGATACGAAGACAATGAAGAGGTTTTGCAAGACATTGAACTTGGTAAACTTGTGGGGTACCTTTTCATACCAGCTAATTTTTCTGAGAGTTATCAGATAAAGGTAAAATTTTCCATTTAATTATATTCCAATAATGTAAAATTGGCGTTTTTATATTCAGGTTGATGACATTCTAGCTGTCAATGAAACAATCTTAGAATTTAGTTCAATCAAAGGTTTTATGGATATGAGCAATAAACCAGTTGGTGGTACCATGAAAGAAAAATTAATAGAACTATATTTAGATTTCCAAAAGGACTTGTATAAGGATTGCATGTGGGATGAAAGAACGGGACAGTCTCCTATGAAAGAGGAATATTTATTTGGCAAGAAAGACGATTCCTTCTTGGTTTTTATGATTCCCGCATTGATACTTACGTAAGGCTTTTTATTTGAGACTCCAAAACAAAAGTGATTTAAAGTAATTTGCTCTATTGGAATTTGTTGCCTCAATAATATATATGTATATAGGTAAAGACCGTGAGATAGGGACTTTTTGCATTTTGAGGGCTGACTAGTTAGCTGATGTGAATATGTTCTGTGGACATTTTGAACGGGGAGCAGGCATTAAAATCACTTATATTATCATCAGCTAACTAGCCACATTCAGCCCTCAAAATGCCAGACAAAAAAAAATCTACTAAATTGTCCTTATCTCAGGGACTAATAGATCCCTAGAGAATCCAAGATCTACATATAGGCGAGTGGCAGAGGCCTATTTACGTTCAGAAACCAGGGATCGACCGATACGTTTTTTTTTTTTTAAAGCCGATATTGCCGATACCGATACGATATGGATTTATAGAAGGCCGATACCGATATAAGGCCGATATATATTTATCTGTTTTCTCCAACCTTTTCCTTTAGTTTGAATGTTTTATTGGTTTTCTCGCACCTTTTCCTTTAGTTTGAATGTTTTATTTATTTGTTTTCTCCTAGTTTTAATATTGTTTGTTCAAGTTCAGATAAGCAGAAAGTTTAGTTTTTTTTTTTAATAAATAAATAATTTTGAATTTGAGTTTAGATAAGCAGAATGTTAAGTTTTTTTTTTTATATGAAAACCTAATTAATTTAAAATAAATTTATGAGAAACAATTTCTAATATTTACTTTCTTCTTAGTCACTCCCATATGTACCAACCAGAATTATTAGGTCTTTTAAGCTTCAAAAAAGCCTTAGTGATGATTACTGATCTTCAAAGTATGATTTGTATCGGTCTAAAGTTATCGGCCAATGAAGGGCCGATATGCCGATACACCGATATACCTGAAAAAGGCCGATATACCGATATGCCATATCGGTATCGGTCGATCCCTGTCAGAAACCCAATATTTTTGTACCTATAACTTATTGAAACCCACACCATCTCATTCATTAGGTAATAATGAAAGAAAAATGTATATACGGCGACTTTTAGTTTTGGTCGAGACAAAAGTTACGGCACAAGAACGGAAAAATGAGGTTCAAAAATTGTAGGGGAGGGTGGGCCAGCATGAGACGCGTTTACCATGAGACAAACGCCATTATTTTTTAATGACTTGGGCTATTTGTCTCCATTTCACAGTACATCAAGTATTTAACATGTTAGTCTTATTTCTGTTGCCAGAGAAGCTGCACGTGCGCCCCTGAATTTTTTGCTGGTTTCGATTTATTTACGCTATAGTGAAATTTATTTTACTGTAAGTTCAGTACTTCATCAGTCGTTCCCAATATTTTTTCATTTTGTTCTGAGGTTTCCAACACAACAGGTGGACATTAATTTCATTGTTTGTGTATATTACGAGTCGATTTTTTCACGTTTTACCAAAATATTGCGGTTTGTAACTCAGACCTACCATGGGCTACAATGAGACACGAAGTTTGGGCCACCTTGAGACGTGTCTCAAATGTTGAGAAAAAATATTTTGTTCAAAACATGTAACGGGGACGCAAAAGAAAATCTCAAAAAGGCCTGTTTAGTGCCGAATCAATAAAAAGGCCTGTCGAAGATGTGATTAAACATAAATTAAACCTCTAAGGAAGGCGGCATAGAAAAACGACGTAAAACATCAAACATTTGCAAAATATGTTGAAAAAACACAAAATTATGATGAAAAGTTATATTACCGCCCTCGTTACGATGTATTATTTTTGAATAAACCTCATTTTTCTCAGTTTTTATGTATGTCTCAAAGTGGCCCACCTCATGGGCTACCTTCAAACAAAATTAGATTTTTTTAGATTCCCCTATAAAATAAAGTAAATTATATTGCGTTAATAGTTTACTCAAAAAATGTGTGCAATAAGATGAAAGATTATGAGGCTCACGAAACTATGTAGAAATTACCAATTTTATCTCCAAAAAAGTAAAAACTGTCTTAACGTGGCCCTTCCTTCCCTACCATTTATATTTCTTCTACGAACGTACGGGAAAAGCCCATTTTTAGTACAAAATTATATTCACCTCAAATTTACCTAATCTTCAAACGGATCATTGTCCAGGTTATCTAATAATCATTTTAACTTTAACTCAAAAATCTCAATAGGTTTCATTAGGACATTTAAAAAAAAAAAAAAAGAAGTATAAATTTGATGAAGCTGAGCAGCGTCGAGCGCGGTTAGTACTTGGATGGGTAACCACTTAGAAATTTACACGGCGTTGCTTTTTTTGAGATGATAGCGTTTTAGGGTGCTTATTGAAGATTTAATACGCCGGCTTGAGGTCCCTTTTCAGTAAAACACTTTATGGGTATAAACTTACCTTACCTTACCCCCTTACAAAAGGACCCTTTGGGTTTTTCGCTTATAATACTAAATATAATAATAATGTAACTGTAAATGGCCAGGTCAGCTGTTACGACGATGTGATCCTGCACAAGACTGTCTGCTATACGTGTTAGCTGCAGAAGCGCTGTATAAATCGTATCATGAGGAAGGTGGGGCATTAATCAATGGGTAGTAGTACACATTTGAAACAGGTAAGGAGTTTGTAGATACAATTTCGTTAAATTGGTGCACCCTATAGATCCACTTTTATCATTTTTATATCTTAAAATTTCCCATACCGTCTCCGTTGTAATGATATCACGGTCTTCAACATCAAGACAATCTAAAACTGATTTTCAGATTTCGTTGGTTCTGAGCGCGTTGAAGGTTTCTTATAAGTTACCAACCTTTGCTCTAAGTCATAGTCTTCTATTTCAGTCGATGATCGTTTTGCTTGACGTTTAATTCGAGGTCCTTCAAAAATTTGGGATTTAGTTTGAAATAGTTCTATTGCTAGAGCATGAGTTGTTCCTTTTCCATCAAGGGTATCTTCGTTTAAATCGAAGTTGTCGATACTTGCCCTTACATAATTTACAGTGCTTTCGATGTTACATATTCCCTGTGGAATGAATAATTTGTGTTTAATATTTTCAATTTGTTGGACTGCGAGAGAAGTTAAAAAAATTCGCATTTCGTCGTTCGAAGTATCGTATCATATCCAAACTGGTATAAAATATCTATAATCTTTTTGCTCCTTACCGTTTGGGTAAACTGACTCAAGATGCTGAAATATTTTTTTCTACTAAAGTTATTCAAAATTTTTGATTATATCGCTACTACATTATTATCAAAATTTTTAAAGGTTGAATTCGAAAAGGCGCTTTCATTTAGCAGCCAAGATGCAAATTTATACAAGCTTTGCGGCACTTCCTCTTTAATATTTTTTCCATCCAGTTCTTGAGGGGTAACATAGTTTTTCTTGGTGTTCATCTTAATATAGCTGGATATTGCATTCCGTAGTATTTCCGCTGACCTGTTTAGTATAAATTATTGCTTTCCTCAACAGCTAATTTTTTGGACTCTGATTCTTTATCACTCTCTACAGATTGACTTATAATGTTATATTCATGTTCTTTCGACAAAACAATAGTTGGTTTTCCAGAACTACAAACAAAAGATATTTTCTCCCCAAAATGTTTTTCAAGTTTTTTTCTTATATTACTACTACTTTGTAGAACGTCGGAATCAATAGCAAATTCCTCAATTATCTTATTTAATTGTTTAGTTAAATTTGCTAAAGTAACGCAGTCTTTCTGTTGAAATATGGTATGTTCTATTTTTTGAAAAAAATACATTTAAAGCACGTTCTAGTGACTGTGAGCTATTAGGTTGGTTGCAAATTTTTGTGGTGGCCATAATATTTCTCTGTGATACCTATGTATTTTGCATAACATATATGATCTATGGTACTTTGCATCTAACGCGAACAAGTCGGTATAAAATTCCATCCTGCCTCTGATAACGGAATCCTCTCTTTCACGAGCACTGTTTAATATATTTCCACGAGTGCCACTACCCTTCCCCGTACAAATTGCAATCAAAACTTTCTTCTTGACGGTACCACTTTTACCACAAATAAGACAGTCAGTTTTGACATTAAATTTATTATCAGTTAGACCCCTACAACTTGTTACGCCACTGCTGGAACAAGGCTCATTTTCAAAAGTTTGTTTGACACTCATTATTCGGTCAATAGTTTTCTTGTTGCAAAATTGTTTACGAAATGAAGAATGAAATTTGAAGTTTATCGGATTTTGAATTATTTCACTCTTGATTGAAATTATCTGTTGCGGAAATAACCCACAACAAGTTTAAATTTTATTATTTCTAATTTAATATAATTTTCTTCTCTATTATTTACCATTAAAATAATATTCAAAAAATAGATGCAATTGCTGGAGTTTTTATCCTGTAAAACCGGCAACAACAACCCTTTGAGTCGGTAAAATTGCAGGTTTCTTCTTTACCTTATAAGGTAATGAACCTGGTCCCGCCACTGTGATTGGTCAGCCGCCGCACAAAATCCCTAGTTTTGCGACCTGCGCTCCTGGCAGAGTCTAGTCGACGCACATTCTTCAGTACTATTAGAATAAGCGAAGAATTCGCACCCTCGCGCCCTCTGAATGCTCTCTAGAGGCAAAACCCCCGTTAGTACGTCCGGTTTATAGTAAAATACTACTCTCTGTGTCTCAAGGCCTGACATGGTCTATATTATTGATTACAATTCATGTAATTAACCCTTAATTGTTGCAAGTCACCTCGGGCTAGCAAAATTCTCTCCTACGCGATTGTCTTTTGGCTCTCTCTTACTCTCGACGGGCTCCAACGCGCCTGTATATCGTTGTGTTTTTTTTTCATCTCAGTGGAAAATTCCCTAGCTGCCAGTGTGAATAGTGGTGATAAATGGATAAATAATCGCCTTGTGAATTTATCTGCATGAACCGGATTAAGCAAGTAAGACCGTTACAATTTCTCTAACAGTCGAACAATAAATACTGATTAGTGATTCGCTTCAAATGCACTATAAATTAAAGTGTTTTCTAACGTTTAATGCAGAAATTTGGTTTTCACAC